ACAGGAGCATTTTGGTAATGCACAGAAAATTGTTTCAGCTTACATGGAAAAGGCTCTTTCATGGCAGCCAATAAGAGTAGAAGATGTGCGAGCTCTGCAAGCTTACGGTCTCTTTCTGAGAGGATGCTGCAACGTCATGGAAGAGTTTGAATACATGTGTGAGTTGAACATGCCTAGCAATATGCTAGCCATCATAAAAAAGTTGCCCTACAAATATAGGGACAAATGGAGAACCCTGGCCTATGACTTGCAGAAAAGGCAGGGCCGGAGAGCTACATTCATGGATATTGTTAACTTAATTGAAAGACAGGTGGATATTGTGAGCGATTCACTGTTTGGAGATATACAGGATACTCCACCAGCAGCCAAAAAATATGTGAGGAAAGCTAAGTTTGAACCTCGTTCAAGGATGAGGGGAAGCAGCTTTGCTACTACTATTATGACAGCGGAAAAGAAAGTGGAACCTGGAATAAGAATGAAGGAGAGAGGCTCACTAGGTACAAGTCTTTGCCTGTTTTGTGGAGGTGGACGTATACTGGATCTGTGTTTTCAACTGGAAAGAAAGGCTCATAGTGAGAAAATAGCTATCTTAAGGGAACATGGTGTGTGTTTTGGATGCTTGTGTATTGGGCACATGAGTAAAGACTGTAGGAAACGCCTCTCGTGCAAAGTATGCAGTCTGAAGCACCCAAGCATACTTCATATCTATCAGAAAGAGAAATAAACGGACACAATGCAAGCTAAAGGAAAAGCTATAAGCAGTGCTCTGATCTCCGTTCAGTCCAGTGGTCTTACAGGGGCCGGTGAGCCAGATTGTACTCTCTACATAGTGCCTATTCAAGTAAAGTCTAAGAACGGACATGAAACATTCATAACATATGCCTTCCTGGATCCTGGGAGCTCAGCATCATTCTGCACTGAGCGGCTGATGAACAAACTGAATCTCAGGGGAAGAAGAACAGACATTCTCCTTCGGACAATGGGTCAGGAGAAAATAGTTGGAAGTCACATTGTTTCTGACCTGCATGTGGCTGGATTAGACAGCAGTCATTATTGTGAGCTGCCTGACACCTACACCCAGAAAACTATGCCAGTTCATCGAGGCAACATTCCTCGGCAGAAAGACCTTCAGAGATGGCCTCACCTGAAACATGTAATGATTACTGAGATTGATTCAGATGTGAACCTCTTGATTGGGACTAATGTTAATGTTACGGAGTGTAGACGGGGGCCCATATGCAGTCAAAACTATGCTGGGTTGGACTATCAATGGACCTCTCAGAGGAGACAGGCGTAGTGAAATTACTTGTAGACAGCCAACTGTCAATAGGATATCTGTTGCAAACCTTGAAGATCTGTGGAAACAGCAGCTAAAGGCTGATTTCCCTGAATGCAGTCAGGGTGAGCAGATGGGACCATTAAGAGAGGACTGTCACTTTATGGAGTATGTCACAAAGTCTGCTAAGTTGATGGATGGCCATTACTGTATTGGCTTACCTTTAAGGAAAAGGGATGTTAGTATGCCAAACAACAGGAGAGTAGCAGAACAACGTACACTGAGCCTCAAGAGAAGGTTTGATAAAGATGTTTCATTTCATGCTGATTACACCGCTTTCATGAATGACATCCTTTCAAAGGGCTATGTAGAGAAAGTGCCAGTTGTGGATCTGGAACGCAGTGACGGCAGGGTATGGTATATACCACACCATGGTGTATACCACCCAAAGAAGAAAAAGATCAGGGTCGTATTTGACTGTGCAGCTACATTCCAGGGAACATCGCTGAATGCGCAGCTCCTACAGGGACCAGATCTTACCAGCACACTGGTTGGAGTCATGACAAGATTCAAAAAGGAACCTGTTGTACTCATGGCAGACATTGAAGCCATGTTTCATCAGGTTCGAGTACCAGCTGATGATTCAGATCTGTTGAGGTTTCTCTGGTGGCCAAATGGAGATCATCATCAGAACTTAGAAGAGCACAGAATGGTTGCACATCTGTTTGGAGCTACATCGTCGCCAAGTTGTGCTAGTTTTGCCCTTAGAAAGTGTGCAGAGGACCATCGGGAGCAGTTCAGTCCCAAAGTAAACAATTGAGTCTGACTCTTGCTCAATTGAGTCCGACTCTTGCTCAGTCTGGCTTGAATAAGGAACAACAAGACCGAGAGATGAAAAAGGAAATGCAGACTATCAAGGCTCAGGTGGTCTCTGGTTTTCTTTCTATTGAGGACCTCCGAAAAGCTGAGAAAGAAATTATCTGCTTTTGTCAAAGAAAAAGGTTTCCTGATGAAATCAGAGGCTTGCAAAAGGGAGAAGGTGTGAAAAGGACTAGTCACATCTACAAGCTCAACCCAGTACTTGAAGATGGTGTTCTGAGAGTGGGAGGACGTCTCAGTAGAGCAGCAATGCCTGAAGAATCTAAACATCCTGTTATATTGGCAAAAGATCTTCACATTTCTGACATTATTCTACGGCAAGTACACCAAGATGTGGGACACAGTGGTCGTAACCACATGCTATCTAGCCTGCGACAAAGATACTGGATTCCTGGTGCTAGTGTGGCTATAAGGAAAACCCTGTCAAAATGTATTGTTTGTCGGAGCTCCAGAAATGCAGCAAATGGCAGATTTACCTCAAGACAGTTTCTCCAGATGAACCTCCATTCACTCGTGTTGGAGTTGACTATTTGACCTTTTGAGGTCAAGCGAGGAAGGAGTACATATTCTAGGGGTATAAGTATCATCACTGAGCGACCAAAACTCGCGGCAGGGGAAGCAAACCCAGACAACACACAACGTAGCTTTACGGGACCAAAACGGAAAATGAGTCTTACCTTTGCTGTTTTCTGATCAAAAGTTGCGTTCAATGTCATTACAACGCATAAAACACTGCTGAAGGTTAATCCAATGTGTCTGTGTCACTTTGAAATGATTACTGATAACCCATCTTCATATTTATGTCAATAATGGAGATTTCTTATTAGCTGCTACGAGAGTGTATGACATCTTTCGGTTTTGGGCATTCTGGCTACTCATCACTCATTCACCAATGGGTAATGTTTAGATGGATTTTAGGAACTTCCTCTCGGTTCAAAAGAGGTGTCAATCATCAAAATCGACCGAGGGGGGACAGAGATATGGATAATGCACCCAAATGACCCCAGAAGCGGGTTTTTCTTCTTCTAAACCTCTCTAAAAAGGTCAAATGTCACTTGTTTTGCATCAATCTTGATACAGGGTACTTATATGTTATAGTTTGGATTCCTAAAGCTTTTAGGGTGCATTCACACCTAATAGTCCGTTTTCTGGTGCGCACCAGATGACAGTTTGTTACATTGTTTCATTTTTGAGAAGGTTCGGTTTGCGTTCACACGGGCAAAACTCAAACGGACTATAAACTTTAAACACAAGTCATGTGCACGGAAATGCTGTTCAACCATTGGTCAGACATTAAGGGGGTAAAAACGGCAATTTTTACCGGAGCCTCCGCCATGGAGCATCGGCACTTTCGGCAGGTTATTCTCATGCTGCTGTTAATCTGGAGATCAACAGACACTAACGGTCCGCGCATATGATTATATAATCAGACAACGTCCATTAAAAAACATTATAACATAATCAGAGATGTTCTGCAGTAAGGAGGGGCGTTTCACCGACGACAGGTGTTCTTACTTTTATGTAGCTGACGGAGAATTTTTACTTTACACGACACTGTTCAACACTTCATTCTGCTTCACTCTTTAACTAAACAACCGCGGATGTCTTGAAAGACTCTTTCGCTAAAGATTTTGAAGACATCCGCATTCTTGTGACACGTAAATACTACGCTTCCTATGTTTTGGTGCGGACTGCGTTCACACCAGCAATGAACCGCTCCAGAGTTCACAAGCAAGCGCTCCGAGACCACCTATTTTAGCGGACCAGAGTCCGGTTGTTTAGTTCACTTCAGAGGTCTCGGACTGCGTTCACACCGACCCAAACGAACCGCACCAAGCGGCTAAACGCACCAGGGTTCGATTCAACCGGACTATACAAGGCAGGTGTGAACGTGCCCTTAGTCTCCGATCCCATCATTCAAGTGTGGTTTTCACTATAAGTAATGTTTTTTTTTTGGACGGACACTATAATTAATTTTCTTTTACCATGTTCAATCTGAATTTACTTTAAAATAAAAAAATTCTATATTGATTCTGACTCTTCTACATCCAACTCACAGGTTTATCATTGCTTTGAGAAAAAAGATTATTCATTTACCCCTTTTAGAAGTGAAGATATAGTCATTTGTTCTGGGAATGTCATTTTCGAGCCTGAGACCTGAAAAACAGGCTTGGGGCTTAACAGGTTAAACCCTCCAACACAAAGTTATTAAACCCTCATCCAGGAAAATATTAAACCCTCCAACAGGAAGTTATTAATCATTAAACCCTCATCCAGGAAGATATCAAACCATCCAACAGGAAGTTATTAAACCCTCCAACATAAAGTTATTAAACCCTCCAACAGGAAGTTATTAAACCCTCCAAAAGGAAGTTATTAAACCCTTCAACAGGAAGTTGTTATTAAACACTCCAAAAGGAAGTTATGAAACCCGCCAACAGGAAGTTATGAAACCCTCCAACAGGATGCTAGTAAACCCTCCAACACGAAGTCATTAAACCCTCCAACAGGAAGTTATTAAACCCTCCAACAGGAAGTTAATAAACCCTCCAACAGGAACTTATTAAACCCTCCAACAGGAAGTTATCAAACCCTCTAACAGGAAGTCTGCATGTGTCCTGACTAAACCAGCTTCCCTGCCTGACCCCGTTTATTGATTCTAAACTGGTTAGGAAAAGTTGGGACAGTTCCTGTTTTGTTTCTGTCAGAGAGGGGGGTTCTTGCAGAAGCTTCTCCCCGTATGCACTCCCCCAGCTGGGGGAAGGAGCCTCCTTCAGCTAAGAGTGAGACCACTCCGTCACAGAGTGGGAGTGTGTGTGCTGTGTGATAGGATGGAGCGCTGTACCTGAGACTCTGCTGCACAACTCCTCGCTCACATGCTCCGTGTCCCGTCTGAACAACAAGATGATCTCATCCTCCAGATCATCCACCAGCGTCTCACACTGAGAGAAACACAAAGCAGAGACCACACACGAGATTAGGTAGAAGCTGAATAAATGTTGGATCCTGAACCCCAGACAAAACATTTGCCGCCATTTTGAAACTAGCTGACGAGGATCCCTGACTTTTTAAATTAGCTTGGCTTTTAAACATTCAATTCAGTCTGTTTGCAATAACCACATCTACAGGGTGCGTCGTAATCCTCAGCATTCCAGTAGTAGAAACAAACATGATTTTTAAACATCTGTTTTATCTGTTAAATGTTTGGGTTAGTCCTACTTTTTTTGTGCAATCCTCTACACACTCGCTTTTGATTGGACAGTGCTGCAAATGTTTCCTCGCAGCAATCCAATCTGAAAGTATAGCAATAACTTAGAACACACACATACACACAATTTTCATTCTGTATGTTTGCACTCACTGCGAACTTCAGAGCGTTGGATGCGTCTGGGCCGCCAAACTGGAAGTGGTTAAAGTCGGGGAAATCCCCAGGGGCCCCGCCGCTCCTGGGAGCAAACCTCCTGTACTGCTTGTGCTGGGTGTCGGGGTCAACATGGAGGGCGTAGTCGTTCATGCTGTTGCACACCTCCTCCAGGAGCTCACTGAGGTGAGTCTCTGAGCGGGCGAGGGGTACCTGGCCCCCAGGGGAGAGAGAGAGAGAGAGAGAGAGAGAGAGAGAGAGAGAGAGAGAGAGAGAGAGAGTTGAGCTGATGCTTCCTCTCTGGATCAACCAAATGGCTTCCCTCATATTTACCCAGAGTTTCCTGCACCAAGTGAAACATTAACATTTGTACACTAAGCTCCATGTATGGTAAACACAAAGAACATTAAACTAAGCACATGTGTCACTGCCATGGCAACCATGATGTTAGTGTCTGCTACATCGCAGGGCCCCTGGGGTCAGCAGGGCGGCCCCTTGTTTCTGCAGTGTCTCCTCCATACTCACTAACAAACCTCACCCTCCAACTCTGACTTTTAACCTGCGCATACCCTCCCAACCTCTCCACCCAGTCTCCCCGTCCTCTTCCTGTCCCCCGGTGAAGAGACAAAGCCAGGCGCTGGTGTCTAGACGGGTCAGGACAGGTGCAGCGCAGCACTCCCCCCACCCCTGAAGGAGAGCGGGTGACAGGGGGTGACGCCCTGGGGATGAAGGGGCAAGGATAGGGAGGTGAAAAGGGTGAAAGGGTGGGTGGGTGGGGTGTTATCTTTACACCTCCGAATGGGCTGGAAAAATCCAAAGGGAGTTGGTTTTCCTGAGGAGGGTGGGGTGAGTGGAGGACTGAACAGAAGCCAAGTGCAGGGTAAACAGCTCCTCTGCTTCTGCTGGCCCCCGGAGCCCCCTCCACCCTCCAACCATCAAAGGTGGGAATCATCCTTGTGTTCTTGGTCTAAAGGTGGCAAGGTGGGTGTGGGGGTGTGGCACAAGGAGGAAGAGGGGGTTGGTTGGAGGGCATTTTGTAACAAAGTAGATGTATTCTTCCCTGAACCCTTTTGTGCTTTTTAGGAATTGGCAGTGATCCCAGAGCCTACTGGTTACATTAGACGCACGCACGCACACACACAGGATGTCACAAAGTCACAAAGCGCCTCTCCACCATCTGTTTGCCTCTTCCTCTCCTCAAATATGTGGTTGATGGTGGAAACCAGTGGAGCCGCTGACTAATCCCTGCGTGGTCTTTAAGGCCCGCCCCCCTCTTTAACTTCTGCCTCTTTCAGCTGGAGATCCATGAGCTTGACAACACTGTTGTGCTGAGGAGGAAGTGGGTTGGTGTGTTACAGCACGGGGCCAAAGGTCGGAGGGCGAGCAGCGAGGGATGTAGGTCAGGAAGGCCAATGACGATGAGGTTCACCTATCAATCAAAATGTGTTTGTGATGACTTTGACACCAGTGCTGACATCCACAGAGAGAGGGAAATGAGTCGTTGGCTCTCACTTATAACATTTGTGGAGCTGTCTTTTTGATTACCTACTGATGCTCATGACTTTATGATTTGCTCTAAAACATTTGCAAAATGTTTTGTATTGTTCAACCAACAGCCCAAAAAACAAAGGTGTCCAGTTTCCTATTTTAAAAGAAAATTGGTCGTGGAAATGACTTTGGGGCCATTATCAATTCCTTCATTTTGCATTTTTTAGGTTGCTATTGTTAAACTAGTACAGCCTACACATTTTGTGAAGGTTTGGATATTAGCGAAAGTGCCAGATTAAATATTTAAACAAATACAAGGAAAGAGAAAGCATTGTTTGTCTTCTTCAATTAGTTTTTAATTTATTATGAATAAAACATGTATACCTCTTGTGAATATGACGTCTACCCCTGTAAATTAAATACTCCAGTACAAATGATGTTCTGACTATTCAAGTTTTTGCTTATCATTATGAAATGAATGATCGCACTGGCGATAAAATAATGATATCATGTGATTTTGTCCTTCCTAGTTGCTAATGATTACTATCCCCAGTAACTAAAGAGTATCAATGTGTGGTGGATAAAATTGTTTTTTTGTATTTTTATATTATATGGTAATTATAATATGTATTATTTAAGTATCATCTGTATGTTGCAGTTGGCATGGCTAAAGCTAAATTAGCCAAATTAAGCTAATGTGGACTATTTTATATAGAGGTTTTTTTTTGTTCAACCAAAAACATTTTAACAAAACTAAATTGAGTACTACAGCTGTCAGGTAAATGTACGGTTACAGCTTAATAAGCAGGTGAAATCACGGCTTATTTTCCCATTATCTGAAATCCGACATTACGCGAACACAAACGTTGTGTTATGACTGAGGGCCATCACATAACTGCTGAAATGTGACTTTTTTTATATATGAAATTGATAAATACAGAGTCGAAAATCCAAACACAAATTAAATCACATGAAAAAAAAAAAAAAAAAAAACTCGCCCCAACGGACAATAAAACACGTCGGTCCCGTCTTTATCATGCCATGCTACCAAATGGTTTGGAATTAAAGCCCTTCCTTGCCAGTCGGAGTCTTGTGAAAGGGAGCTGTCAGTCACAGTGTTGTTTGAAGAATGGGGCTGGGGGGCGGGGGTGGGGGGGGGGAGAGACCGGTTGGTTCAGAGAATAGGCTTCTCAGGGATGCTATCCTCCATTCAATTCCCATTGGACAAGGAGCCATTATTGCTTGCTGTGGACAGGGGCCTTTCAATTTCATTGTCCTGGTTTTATGGGCAAATGAAGACCCATATATTAATAATAATAATGAAATTGTCATCAAAGCTGCGAGTGGAAGGAGAAGCTGAAATGTCATTTTGACCATAAGATTAGTTAATATTAAATGATAATGGTTTGATGATAATAATATCACTTCATTATGACAAAAAAGACATATTGAGAGATGTGTAATTAGCTGGCACTTCTGAATGTAAATGAAATGCATCCTTATAAAAGCATTCATCCTAATCTAAAGATGGTTAATTCTGAAGAGGATACAGTATAGCTACATCAGCTGTCACATTTCTTCAAAGCAAGGGGGAACATTTTGGGAAATAATATTTTAGTTTTTATTCATTATTCCAATGAGAAGATCAATGTAAATCCAGGGTGTGGTTAGCTTAGCATTAAGACCAGAAGCAGTGGAAAACTGCTAGCCGGGCTCTGTGATACGGAAAATATGTGAAACTTTTTTTAAAGAGTGCAAGGAAAAATATTTACCCGCACTATAATCTCTAAAAACAAATCAGCTGAATTGAGCGTTAAATTGTATTCAAAGACACAAAGAATTCAGCTGTTTATTTTTTCACTGAAGTACATCACAAACAAGCCTGTTTTTTTGCTAGCCAAATTAGCAACCAGATTAAGGTTAAGTATGGATGCACTTTACTAATTAAACTAGCTAGCACTAGCTGGTCATTTCATGTTTGTTTAGCTAACAGTGGCCCTGGCTCTTGCCCTAAATCGTCATTAAAATCAGGTGTAGGGAAGCACCCCCCTCACCATACATACTTTTCTTCAGATTAATCAAATATGAAATGTATTATTGAGCTTTAGAGTGTTCCAGTAAGGTAGATTTCTTTGGAAGGTGTACACTGGTTCACATTTCCCCCAGTAAATATACATGAGCCCTCATAAAACCGCAAACTGTTGTTTTTATACATTTGTGTTGGATTTAACAAAAAGGATTTGAGGCATTTCATGTGTCTCTGTTTCTCTGTTGAACTATTCCTTTAACAACCTTTGGGCAGATTAAACGCGAAAGCGCTCTCAATTATAAAAAAATAAAATCAGTTAACTGCATGTCACCTCACTCAGTCACATATGTGTCACTATGTCAGCGTGTCATTGTGCATCCTCTCATTCTCAATGCATGACTTCCCATCGGTCACTATGAGATCAGCTCACTGCTCCAACTAAGTTCAATGTCTTTGGAGGCCTTAAATGCGTCATTGTTGCAGCAGGCAGGTTTAACTTTTGTGCAAAGGACCAGCCCCATGCCCCCAGGAAGTCCTACTGTGAGGAGGCCAAAGAGCAGAGACTTAAAACCTGCAAATCCTCCTCACTGATGGCATCTAAGCTGTGACATCCCTCCCTCTCCGATTCACACTAGGTCAAAAGCTGCTGAAAGGAGGGAGTCGGAGGGCATGGGATCAAGGTTTGGCTTCTTCTGTGGCTCAGTAACATTTGATTGAGCAAACAATGCAACAGGTGGAGGTTTCGTGTTAGCTAAGGGCAGAGGAGAAGTCATCTCCGGAAGACTATCTGTTCCTGGTTACTATAGCGTGACCACAACCCAAACTGTCGTCACAAGAAGAGCTGCTTCATCCACAGTTGGTCAAATACACCAGGGTCTTTAGGATCAAATATAAAGAAAACATAAGTTTGGGTGTCAAGTTGCACAACCATGGACAATTCTAGAAGTATTCAAATGGTTGCTCTAGAGAGGCTATACCTTTAGTGCAGTGAGTGGGTTGGGGCTACATCATGCCATCCAGCTGCCAGGTCCTCAGGGAGGGGCCCGCGTTCTGTTCCTGCACCAAGGCTTTCCTCTGCTTAACCAGTTGCTGATTCTTCCCCTGTCTTTGCCATTTTAGGGCCATGTGATTCATGTTCAATATCCGCACTGGAGCAACTTTGGGTCAAACTTGGTGATGTGATTAATTAGATTACATTTGTTATACGCGTTAAGGTTTCCAGATTAATTGTTAGCGTTAACGCGCACTGATATCATAGTGATCGTCGACAGCTCTAGTTATAATGCTCCAAATATCTGGAACAAACTAGCAGAAAACAGCAGTTCTGCTGCTACTCTCACTGCTTTTAAATCCAGGCTGTAGACTTTTCTTTCTGCCGTTGCCTTTTATTAAATCAAAGAGCTATTCATATCTCACACTGCACTGTTGTACCTTTTAATATGTACATTTTTGGCTTTTTAATTAATGTCTGAAATGTATAATAATAATAATAATTTTAAATTCATTCAATTTATAGCACTTTTCAAGAAACACAAAGACGCTTAATGTCATTTCATGATGTTCCTTTTTCCTTAATGCTTCTTGTGTTTCTGTAAATGACCTTCGAGTGCCTTGTTGTGCTGCCTAACTTAGGGCCTGCTGCTCTGTCTAACTTAGGGCCTGCTGCACTGTCTAACTTAGGGCCTGCTGCACTGCCTAACTTAGGGCCTGCTGCTCTGTCTAACTTAGGGCCTGCTGCTCTGCCTAACTTAGGGCCTGCTGCACTGCCTAACTTAGGGCCTGCTGCACTGTCTAACTTAGGGCCTGCTGCACTGTCTAACTTAGGGCCTGCTGCTCTGCCTAACTTAAGGCCTGTTGCGCTGCCTAACTTAGGGCCTGTTGCGCTGCCTAACTTAGGGCCTGTTGCTCTGCCTAACTTAGGGCCTGCTGCATTGTCTAACTTAGGGCCTGCTGCTCTGCCTAACTTAGGGCCTGTTGCACTGCCTAACTTAGGGCCTGCTGCACTGTCTAACTTAGGGCCTGCTGCACTGTCTAACTTAGGAACTGTTGCTCTGCCTAACTTAGGGCCTGTTGATCTGCCTAACTTAGAGCCTGCTGCACTGTCTAACTTAGGGCCTGCTGCACTGCCTAACTTAGGGCCTGTTGCACTGTCTAACTTAGGGCCTGCTGCACTGTCTAACTTAGGGCCTGCTGCACTGTCTAACTTAGGAACTGTTGCTCTGCCTAACTTAGGGCCTGTTGCTCTGCCTAACTTAGGGCCTGTTGCTCTGCCTAACTTAGGGCCTGTTGCACTGTCTAACTTAGGGCCTGTTGCTCTGCCTAACTTAGGGCCTGTTGCACTGCCTAACTTAGGGCCTGCTGCACTGCCTAACTTAGGGCCTGTTGCTCTGCCTAACTTAGGGCCTGTTGCTCTGCCTAACTTAGGGCCTGCTGCACTGTCTAACTTGGGGCCTGCTGCACTGTCTAACTTAGGGCCTGTTGCTCTGCCTAACTTAGGGCCTGTTGCTCTGCCTAACTTAGGGCCTGTTGCTCTGCCTAACTTAGGGCCTGTTGCTCTGCCTAACTTGGGGCCTGCTGCGCTGTCTAACTTGGGGCCTGCTGCACTGTCTAACTTGGGGCCTGCTGCACTGTCTAACTTAGGGCCTGCTGCACTGTCTAACTTGGGGCCTGCTGCACTGTCTAACTTGGGGCCTGCTGCACTGTCTAACTTAGGGCCTGTTGCACTGTCTAACTTAGTGCTTGCTGCTCTGCCTAACTTAGGGCCTGCTGCACTGTCTAACTTAGGGCCTAATGCACTGCCTAACTTAGGGCCTGCTGCACTGTCTAACTTAGGGCCTGTTGCTCTGCCTAACTTAGGGCCTGCTGCACTTTCTAACTTAGGGCCTGCTGCACTGCCTAACTTAGGGCCTGCTGCACTGCCTAACTTAGGGCCTGCTGCACTGTCTAACTTAGGGCTTGCTGCACTGCCTAACTTAGGGCCTGCTGCACTGTCTAACTTAGGGCCTGCTGCACTGCCTAACTTAGGGCCTGCTCTAATGTCTAACTTAGGGCCTGCTGTACTGTCTAACTTAGGGCCTAATGCACTGCCTAACTTAGGGCCTGCTGTACTGTCTAACTTAGGGCCTGCTGCAATGTCTAACTTAGGGCCTGCTACACTGTCTAACTTAGGGCCTGTTGCACTGTCTAACTTAGGGCCTGTTGCTCTGCCTAACTTAGCGCCTGCTGCACTGTCTAACTTGGGGCCTGCTGCACTGTCTAACTTGGGGCCTGCTGCACTGTCTAACTTAGGGCCTGCTGCAGTGTCTAACTTGGGGCCTGCTGTACTGTCTAACTTGGGGCCTGCTGCACTGTCTAACTTAGGGCTTGCTGCACTGCCTAACTTAGGGCCTGCTGCACTGTCTAACTTAGGGCCTGCTGCACTGCCTAACTTAGGGCCTGTTGCACTGTCTAACTTAGGGCCTGCTGCACTGTCTAACTTAGGAACTGTTGCAATGTCTAACTTAGGGCCTGTTGCTCTGCCTAACTTAGGGCCTGTTGCTCTGCCTAACTTAGGGCCTCTTGCACTGTCTAACTTAGGGACTGTTGCTCTGCCTAACTTAGGGCCTGCTGCACTGTCTAACTTAGGGCCTGTTGCACTGTCTAACTTAGGGCCTAATGCACTGCCTAACTTAGGGCCTGCTGCACTGTCTAACTTAGGGCCTGTTGCTCTGCCTAACTTAGGGCCTGCTGCACTTTCTAACTTAGGGCCTGCTGCACTGCCTAACTTAGGGCCTGCTGCACTGCCTAACTTAGGGCCTGCTGCACTGTCTAACTTAGGGCTTGCTGCACTGCCTAACTTAGGGCCTGCTGCACTGTCTAACTTAGGGCCTGCTGCACTGCCTAACTTAGGGCCTGCTGCACTGCCTAACTTAGGGCCTGCTGCACTGTCTAACTTAGGGCTTGCTGCACTGCCTAACTTAGGGCCTGCTGCACTGTCTAACTTAGGGCCTGCTGCACTGCCTAACTTAGGGCCTGCTCTACTGTCTAACTTAGGGCCTGCTGTACTGTCTAACTTAGGGCCTAATGCACTGCCTAACTTAGGGCCTGCTGTACTGTCTAACTTGGGGCCTGCTGCACTGTCTAACTTAGGGCCTGTTGCACTGTCTAACTTAGTGCTTGCTGCTCTGCCTAACTTAGGGCCTGCTGCACTGTCTAACTTAGGGCCTAATGCACTGCCTAACTTAGGGCCTGCTGCACTGTCTAACTTAGGGCCTGTTGCTCTGCCTAACTTAGGGCCTGCTGCACTTTCTAACTTAGGGCCTGCTGCACTGCCTAACTTAGGGCCTGCTGCACTGCCTAACTTAGGGCCTGCTGCACTGTCTAACTTAGGGCTTGCTGCACTGTCTAACTTAGGGCCTGCTGCACTGTCTAACTTAGGGCCTGCTGCACTGCCTAACTTAGGGCCTGCTGCACTGCCTAACTTAGGGCCTGCTGCACTGCCTAACTTAGGGCCTGCTGTACTGTCTAACTTAGGGCCTGCTGCAATGTCTAACTTAGGGCCTGTTGCACTGTCTAACTTAGGGCCTGCTGCACTGCCTAACTTAGGGCCTGTTGCACTGTCTAACTTAGGGCCTGTTGCTCTGCCTAACTTAGGGCCTGCTGCACTGTCTAACTTAGGGCCTGTTGCTCTGCCTAACTTAGGGCCTGTTGCTCTGCCTAACTTAGGGCCTGCTGCACTGTCTAACTTGGGGCCTGTTGCTCTGCCTAACTTAGGGCCTGCTGCACTGTCTAACTTAGGGCCTGCTGCACTGTCTAACTTAGGGCATGTTGCTCTGCCTAACTTAGGGCCTGTTGCTCTGCCTAACTTAGGGCCTGTTGCTCTGCCTAACTTAGGGCCTGTTGCTCTGCCTAACTTAGGGCCTGCTGCACTGTCTAACTTGGGGCCTGCTGCACTGTCTAACTTGGGGCCTGCTGCACTGTCTAACTTAGGGCCTGCTGCACTGTCTAACTTAGGGCCTGCTGCACTGTCTAACTTAGGGCCTGTTGCTCTGTCTAACTTAGGGCCTGCTGCACTGTCTAACTTAGGGCCTGCTGCACTGCCTCTGAATTCCCTAAAAAGCACTCTATAAATAAGATATATTATTATTATCATTATTACACCACTAATAATGATAATAATGGAAGAAATGGGTGGACTGCTGAGTGGACTGATACAGTATAGATGAGGCTGGTGGTGTGGCAGTGTATTCTCTTTGCCTCAGTGACATTAGCTTTATAGAAGCTAACATGCACGTTAAAATCTAGGTTGTTTTTTATAAAAGAGTGTTGACTTTCATAAAGGGCCTTAAAATTAAGATAGTTTGAGGTTTAAAGATCATTGAACATAAATACTGGTCCTCCATTGGAATGCTCCTTCAACTACAGCATATTCAAAATCAGAAACCGGTTTATTACCAGTTTACACGTACAAGGAATTTGACTTGGTGTCGTGGTGCATACATAAATATTATACTCTGTATTGAGGTCTCTTTAAATAAAATATAATGTGTGAACCGATTCATTTCACAGAAAACAACATGAAGACACGCTGTATCATGGAAGGACTCGACCTACAGATGTTTTCCTCTCAGCATTATCTGCACACTCGATCAGTGCAGCTGTCAGTGATTCAAATCCACCAAATCAATATGAGAGCTGGACACCTCAAGATAGCCTGGTCCCTGGGCAGAGGAGGACGTCCAGGGTCTAGTGGGATATGACCTCATTATCCCAGGAACAATAGGATCCATAATCTCACTGTGTTCACAAAGCATCACACACACAGCCACACCAGAGAGCAATGAACTCTGAGGTGAAATCAACTCTAGTGTCACCTTTATACTTGATTATTCATTTATAATTGTATGCCAGTGACAAGCAATAACTTTGGTCTGTATTACTTCTTGCACTATTTAATGGTTCTTCAAATTAATTGTATTGTTTTGTGTCTTATATACGTATATTGATGTTGCATTGTTGACTTATCTAAACTGTAACTACTTTGCAAATGACAATAAAGCCTTGGAATCCTAAGAGTAGATCCAAGCGAGAAACAAGCTGCCTTTACTACTAATAAAATGCCTACATAACCCTTGTTGGAAAAAAGAAATGATGCCAACACACTGACAAATAGGTAGCATTTAAAGCACTGACACCACTGACCAGCAAGGTGTGAGCTTTCATGTAGAACTCAATACAAAACATTTTTGTAATTTTTGTGTTTGTGAGAGGGAGAGAGAACTATGGCAGAGACCGAGAGGTCTGATTCATGTCGGCAGCTTAAAAAAACACCAGACGTCATATAGTAATTTCATACATCGTATGTAGAATAAGCCGCAATGCATCGAGTTTATTCGATATGTCGCCCAGCCCTATAGCACTTTATAGTAACAATACTAACCTGTTGTACAGTCATTGTGCCCAACTCAAGATTTGTAATAACAACTGACCGGCCGGCCGGTCGGTGTCAGCCTGTTGTACAGGATGTGAGGTGAATGGTACACACTCATACTTTATTTGTTCTTTACTTTTCTTTTCACTATATGTGTAAAGCGTCTTTGAGCACCTGTAAAAGCGCTAACAAAATAAATCTATTATTATAATACAACGTTCAGAGAGGCAGTGTAACTCACAAACCTTTTGGGAAAGTCGCCATCCGTTCTGAAGATATGGCGAAAAGGACTGAACTGTGTGTTGTCAATGACATATTCAGAGTATAAGGCTAACACTAGGTAGTACGTTTATTAATTAAGAACAGGCAACAGACCAATAAGAATTGAGTATTTGACCAAAACATTGTATAACTATTGTGAAAGTATGGATAATTATAATAACCAAATACTGGAGATAGAGGATACTCTTTGATATTACCTTATTGAATAACTGATGTCAAGAATAACAAAATAATCAAATACTAACAGCTGATCCTTCTGACATCATGTGTATGCAGTGGCGAGCCATGACTTTTATACATAGGCCCTCTGACCCCCACCCCTTCCCTCGAGAGAAAAAAAAAAAAAAAAAAAAAGAGTTATTACGTCACAGCGTATACTTCAGCGGAATATCAAAACAACGGCCCGGGGTGCAAAACGCATCAATGAAAGCAACCCTCTACCACAAAACAACACCTGTAAATAACCCAATTTGTGTTCTTTGAAATTGAAAAGGATGTTGCATTGTGTTTGTTACTTTCGTTGCAGTTGTATGTCTTAAGTGTAATTTGGCATGCTTTTATTTTGAAGGCGAATTTACGCTGTTGACAGGAAGTTGTTGTTGCTATGGAAACAAGAAAAGCTTCACAGCGGGCGGAACTTGTCAAAGTCCGCGATAATAAAAGCCACCCATTTAGAGGGAAGATATGATAGGTCAATTGTACTGTCATTTGACATTACTCTCGTTCAGTTACTATAGCTGGCCCTCTGTGAATTTACAGCAGGACCACCAATCAGCTCCTGTCTTCACAGTAACTCGCAGAGACGGCTAAAGGGGCTTCTTTCATTTAACCCTTCACATTCAAACAGAAACTGAATGGGCAGATTCGAAGGATTTATTTCTTTGGAAATGTTATTTTAAATACAATTAAATCAAGTTATGTTTGGTAAAACTAATGAAAAATATATATTTTTAAATATTTTAAAAAAATATTAAAATAAATATATATTTTTTTAATGTTTTTAAATATTATTTTGTAGAATATCTTAGGCCCTCAGAGAGGGGCTAGAGGGCCCTGGCGGCTCTCCACTGTGTATGTACCGAGAGCTGTAGGACAGGGGGGGACACATCAGTTTACTTTACCTTTTTGTCTTTCATGGTTCCGTCAGGGTTGAGTCTAAAGCCGCCAACGTTGATGGTTTTCTTTGGGTCAATCTGGCTGATCGAGTAGTTCAGTTCGTCAGCAATGGCCTTGCATGCTGGGAAACAAAGGTAAACCTCAGTGATGGCAACAAACTGCTTATTGTCATGAATTGAATTTTGTTTAGTAGGTTCTTTAAATAGAAAGTTCAAGGGTCATTTGTGTTGACTGAAGGGTTCTAAATGTTACTGTTAATAAATGATACTGACTAACATGTTTAAGCTGTTTAGGACAAAGACGTCTGACACTGCAACCCTATGTGTGTCCAAAGCACTCATACATCTCATGAGTTTCTGACAACAAGTAAAGTGCAGTGTTTCCCCTACCATTGTCTTGGAGGGGCGTGGCGCCCCACCAACTGAGCCCCATGCCCCCCCTGAAATTCAAGGTGTTCACATTTTTTATTATTATTTATGATATACATTTTTTTTAAATTCATATTTATAGCACCAAATTGCAACTAATCTATATCTACTGTCACTTTTCACATTGAACATGTGCTCTTTTATTACATAAACGTTTTCATTTTAAGTTGTGAGTTTAGTGTTTTTGACCCTAAGAAACAGATGCATTAATCAATAACAATAATCCACAGCTCCTCTCTCTGCTCCAGAGGATTTTAAAAATATATATCCCAATGCCAACCACACCCAGTTTTATTTAACGTACGGCTAGCCAGCTTTAGCGTAATATTAACCCCAAACAGATCTCTCTTCACAATGACTTTTAGAGGGAACAGCTTAATAAGTTACTAAATAACAAGTAAGCTCAAATAAGAAAGCTTAAAGGTGAAAATAGTACGAATCAACAGGAGCGACTGCAGCAGGCTGGATGTATCACTGGCTGGTGTATCACTACAATCTGAGCTGCGTCTCACTTCTCTTAACCTGCATCCCTGCTTCCCTCACTCTTATTTTCCTCTTGCGACTCTCCATGCATCCATGGTGGGAGGGACTAAGACGCAAGGAAACCACGAGAAGTGAGAAGAAGCAAGGAAATTAGTTTTAAGAGCAATGGGTCGTCCTTTCCTCGGAGCGTCACGTGAAGCGACGTCCGTTTGTGATGACGCTGCACAGCCGATCGTCTGACAGCAGCCAGCTCTGCATAAATATTGTGGGTTTAATAAATGTGAACAGATGTTGCATTATCGTAACGCTATGGTTGTAGGCATAACAATCAACATTAAGTAATGGCACTTAGCTTTTAAACTGAGCAAAATCCCGTCATTCATGTCTCAGCTGTGACTGAATGGAAATGACAGTAAATAAAAAAAGCTGTTCCTGCTGACAGACATTCAATCTCTCTTTTTATTTTATTGTGTTCATAATAGAAATTAATTGGACATCATGACACATTTTTCCAATAAATGAATAAAATGTTTTTTGTCCAATTTGTTGTTCAGATATATCACATATTTTTAACTAGATGATATATTAATGAAACAAAACACTATAAATTGAGGAGTGATTCCACTGAGTTTAATGTATTATCTTCACTCTGCTGTTAAGAAGCATCTGATCAGTGATGCACTGCAGCCTCCAATCAGTGAGCGATACACAGAAAGGGGGCGGGGCGAGTGCCTGAAGATTTCCCTGAAGAATGGTCTGGTGGTTCCTTCGTTATCGCTCTTTGCTCCTCTGGCACAAATAAGCGCCATGGGACGCTCCTTAAGATGGCGCACACAAATCTGCTTCCGTTGAGAGAGAGAGGACTGAGGAGCGAGGAAATGATGAAGAAGAGACCTGAGGTCCAGCAGCCCTGGTCCAGCCGTACACTTATTCTCCTTACTTCCCAATTGTTTTTATTTGACAAGTTAACCTCCTTTATTAATACTAAGTAACAGCAGAAGGCAGTAAATGCGGAGGGACAGACACTTCTGTTACCCTTCAAATCACGGGATTGAATTCAAATGTTTTTGACCAACAGCAGCATCTTCAGTACTTTAGGGATGAGTGACTCACCGGAGCAGTAGAGCTGCTGGTCCCTCTTCCCCTGGCTGCTACTGATGAACACAGAGAGCACCATCATAGTCACATGAATAATCCATGAGGCCATATTACAAACCTAGCAGGACAGACAGTTATATTAGCAGTGTGATTAGACAGGAGCACATCATCAGGAAACCAAGGTAACATACATACGTATCAAGGTCATTTAATAAACCAAACAAGTGATACAATTGCATTTTCCATTCAACTGAATTATCAACTCATAAAGTGCTGGGCATTCATTCATTAGCCTATATTTGTTTCTATACTTCTTATTAATCTTACTACTTTGACAAAAGAGTGCTAGTTATTTTTTGGGAACGATGCACCCACTCATTAACAGAGGGGCCATGTTGGGCCCTTTTCCAAGAGACATGTTATGCAAGTCACAGTTAGATCACTTCATGCTTCAGATCTGCATGAAACCTTCCCCGTTTAATTATTACAAAACAGTTTTACAAACAATTACAACAGTGTTCTAAGCGTTTTTATAAAGTTTATACATTTTTGATACATTTATACATTTTAACATGGTTTTGGCATGCAATGTTATATATTTAAGAATTACAAATAATCAGGGTTATGTTAAATTGTTCACAAGAGCACATGATTCTATACCCTCTTAATGTTGGTCTCAAAGTGCACCAGATTTGATCCTTTAACTTTAAATTGAAAAACTTAGGTTGATTTCTGTAATTAGTCAAGTGATTTTGCATATTCCAGCAGATATTGCAGAAAATGTATTATTGCATTGTTAGTTTTTCCTAATAAGTTGTAGCCATAAATGTTACATTGGCAGAATTGCAGCATAACACAAGCAGAGCTCTGTTTATTTAAAAAAACAAAACGTAATCATGATATCAATTTTGTTCAAAATAATTGTGATTATTTTGGCCATAATCGTGCAGCATAATGTGTGTTTAGTGAGTGCATGTCAGGATTTGAGGTAAGGCAGGACCCAGATGCAGTTTTTAAAAGACAAAAAGGTCAAATAACCAAAGGCGAGCTTTATTTACCAAAAAAGCTGTAGACGATACACAAACAAGAAAAAACCTAACATCCATAAATCCATAGCATGAGCATCCAGACAAGAACCGACAGTGGTAAACATGGAAACAGGAAAGGGCAGGGGAGGCAGAAACACAAGGGCAACTGGTGAACACAATCAGACAATCAGACACAGGAGGGCAAACACCGGAAGGAAGACAAGAGACAGGGAGAACAGAATTTCAAAATAAAATCATGACTAGACCATAGACTGTATATATAAATGGACGTAGTGTCCGTGACGTCACCCATAGGATTCTGCAGAGTTGCCGAGAAGCCCTTAGTAGGCGGAGTCGGCCACTGACGGCTCGACTGTAACGTCAGAGTCTAATCCCGCCTGCTCCAAATAAGGGCAAAGAGACGGAGCCGAGGCGGGACCTGCTGCCTCCGAACTGGAAGTAAACAGAGCTAGCTCAGGCTAAGAAGCTAAGCTAACATGAAATACATGCGTACCAAGTTACTGCTAACAGTGTAGTTCCCCTATATAAACGTTACATTCATAATCAAATGAGACAATCTGCAAGAGAATTAGCTATATTTTGTTATTCTTAATGCTTGTCATTCACACGTTGAGAAAAGACGGACTCCACCGCCCGGACCTAACGGAGCCGCAGTGGGCTAGCTCCGGGACGTCGGCTGGAGCTAGCCCCCTGCGGCTCCGTTAGCTCCGGCGGCCACCACTGGGATAATCGGGTCCCCTATTAACATTTGCTCCCGTTTAGCATTATGGACGTCATAGCCATAGACTATAACATTCTTACCCAAGGCTGAATCATAAACTAAAATGTCTATGTATGTATAAAGGGTTACATCCTTAGCTGGCTAATAAGTAGCAAGCTATGCTACCAAGCACACAAACACCTATAGGAACGGGGTTAACATGTATAATATTATAATTTTAGACTACTTGGAAGTTCTGTTAGTACATTCAAGCGCACAGCACAACATTTTAATTGTCTGGTATTTGTAACAATATTCCCTAAAAGGCACAATCACCACGAACACGGCTAAAGGGTCAAGTACAGTAACTACAACTAACTAACGTTGTAGCCTCTATGGTTGTAGCCTAGCAGAGTGGACAAGTTGCTGTTAGCTGACAGTGAGGCATGTACATGTCCATCAAAGTGACCACGCCCTAATTTATGCAAAAGATTTAAGGCTTAATATTAATTAAACAGATGAGTTGAGAAAACATTCACCCCCCACACAGTAGTCATGAAGGGGGAATCTAACTATACAGAGAATATGTTTTTTTGAACCACGATGTAAACATGTTTATTTCTGCTGTAAAGTTGGGCATTTTAACATGGGGGTCTATGGAAATTGCTCCCTTCTGCAGCCTGCTCCTACTGGCCACTAGATGAACTGCAGTGTGTGGCACTTCCGTATTGGCGTCCCGGCTCTTCCCCAGAGTTTGCCGCTTGGACTAGACAGACAAAAACTAAAAACGTGACAGTGCAGGTGTAGCTGTTTTTCAGGGTTCTACAGCAAGATCACATCGGAATGGAAATTGAAAATGACACTGAGTCATTGAAAGGTTTGGATATTTGAAAAGTTATGTTTATATTGTAATATAACACATATTGTAATATTTGTCAGAGGCAAAACGGTTTTATGTGAGTATTAAAAAGATACTGATACAAGGCCTGGGCATCATGAACAGCCACTGATGTCCTATAGCTATCTGTGTGCAGCTTCTGACACTTGTTTGATGCTTGAATAAAATATACTTGTTTGAACTTTGTGTCTCTAGGCTAGCTGGTTTGTGTAAGTTTTGTAAGTGCTATTATAATGATATTACTAGTTAGTTTTTAAGAGTTCACACATACCTTGAAAACCTCAGTTTTCAGAATGAGTATAGTTGTTGGTCAGACACACATCCCAATACTTTGTAATCTGGATAACTTTCCTACCAGATGAACAAATCATTAACCAGACTGGTAGGCCTACCCGTTACATCAGCTAGTCTGGTGCTTTGTGCCGTGCAAACTGGTTTCACTGGGATGGATTCAAACTCCCTGCCTGAATTATTGTCTCAGTCTGCCATATACTAGGCATAGGCTGCAAGGGATAGTAACTAAGTACATTTAGTTAAGTAGCCTACTGTACTCAAGTACAAGTACATTTTGAGGTACTTGTACTTTACCTGAGTATTTTCACTTTATAATTTACTCCACTACATTAAGGAAGCCATCTTTAGGCTCTCCCCTTCCCTTACCTAACAGAGGCAGCCTAAATACCAAACAGCGACAGACAGGTGATCAGCCTGCTGCCCACCTGTGAGCACCTGCGTCATGTTCTTCTTTATTGTGTTGTTTAGGAATTCATTACGGATCGACTGGGACATTACCGACATATTACTTGCATTTGCAATTTTAAGTGCAGTTCTGAGCATTGCGTTATTAAATCACAGATGAGCAAACATGAACTATATTGTTAAATGTCGCTGTGCACACTGCATAGCGACATTTAACAATATAGTTCATAGTATATATAGTTCATCGGACGGCAGCGACATGTCTTACCTGACAGGAGCTCCACAGCGGGCTCTCTGACTGATGACCGCCGAGCTGTCACTACTTTACCCTGTACATGTTAATATTTCATCTATGATCAGCAATCGCAGTTTACATTCAAATACACTACAAGTTGTACATCTCCGGTCAAAACTTTCAAAGTAAAATTCTCGTTGAACAACACTTTACTATATCTGCGTAAAACACGGGGATTGAGTAAACAATTAACATGTAGGAAGTAATACACAGTGAATAACATTTATGTTTCTAAAATGGCATCTTTCACTACTGTGTCTACTTCATTCAAGCCCTTTCCTGCTTTTATTTTGAAAGCGCAGTTCGCTGAATTCCTCACTCGCTCCGCCTGGTTCCTACTGACTTGACGCATGACGGTGAAGCTTCACGTGCTGGCCTGTGGTTGAGCCACGTTCACCCGTCAACCGTCTGCTGAACCAATCATATTCAAGACTCGAAGAGCACAGACCAATCACAGCTGCGGCCACAAATACAAGAAAACAGGTTACAGCTAAAGGAAGTGGTGGGAAGTAACGAAGTAAATTACTCAAGTACTGTACTTAAGTACAATACAATCATATAATAATGTAATAATAATAATAATGTATAATAATGTAATTGCATATATTTAAAAGCTGAAGCTACTTTTAACAAAATGCATCTCTAAAAATAAGAGAAACCAGAACTTTGTTTATCGAGAACAATAACATGCTACATAATGCAACAATTTTGTCTAGAAATGTCAGATATATAAATATAATTATATACACACATAAAGGCAATTTTTCTGCCAAATGAGTACTTTTACTTTTTCTACTTTAAATACATGTTGCTGATAATACTTTTGTACTTTAATTAAGTTAGATTTTGAATGCAGGACTTATAATGAAGTATTTTGAAAAACAATGTACTCAAGTAAAGAATCTAAATACTTCTTCCACCAATGGAAATGGAAATACCATATGTCTCAAACACCAACCTTTTTACCTGATATGGTCAGACAAACAAAATATGCAATGACAAGTGTAATAGTTTACACTTAATAATTGAATGCTGAAATGAAGTAGGGTTAACTATCAAGTAGTAGGCAACTTCCAATCAGGAGCTCCCGTCTCTGCTGAGGCAACACACTGTCTCCTCCTACCTGAGTGGGGAAGCAGGTGGTCTCTTCACAGGGGCTCTGACCTGATTTTCCTCATGTCCTCTATAACATCAAGGTCTCCATAGCACAGGTAGATGAAAATGTCCTCAGTTCAGCGTGACTTGTAGTAGTGGTGAGAGAAGTAGCCGTGTGAAGCCAGACAAATCTAAGCTGCAGAGGTGGGAAGTAAGTACATTGAATCACAAACTGTATTTAAGTATAATCTTGAGATACTTGTAATTTACTTGAGTATTTCCATGTTATCCTTACTTATACTCCACTACAATTCAGAGGTACATGGTGTACTTTTACTCCCCTACATGTATTTATCTGTAGTTACTTTACAGATCTGGATGAATGATGTGAAATAGGATCAAGTCTTAAAGGTCCCATGTCATGCTTTTCCGGTTATCACCCATCCCCTTGTGTTATGAAGGTCTTTATGCATATAAACGGTCTGCAGAGTCAAAACCCTCAAAGTACACCCTGTAGGGAGTACAACTCTAACACAGAGAAGACCTGTATATGCTGCCCCAGAACGCCTCGTTGGACATTTCTTTTTTTCTTCCTGGGTACAGTGTCGTGCCCATATCCAAATGGACAATCCGTGGAGCCGTTATGTTACGTCTGCGGAGCCGTTACGTTAAGTCCGTGGATTGGTCCAAATTGACCAATCCGCGGACTTCCTCACACACACACACTCAATAGAGGTTTCTCAATACTCTAATTTCCCCTCCTCGACTCCTCGACTCCTCAGTCAGGTAGTGACCCGGAAATGAATTTCAGCGTGCCATGTTGAAGGACATCTCATTTCTCTAAATGCACTTCGAGGACCGAGCATCGAGGAGGCTCTCTGGAGGAGCTCTAACCGAGGAGACACTGATGGTTCCTCCACGGCTCCTCCGCGGATGCATTTCCGGGAACAGTGGAGGCGTTACGCACGGCCGGACTTATCTCAGCCAATGACAGCTCTGCATGCATCCCCTGGATATTATTTTAGTAACGGCCCCTACACACGGCGGCGTGCGTTGTCGCTTGCCGGCGGGGGGGGGGGGCTGAAACTCGACCAACAACCAATCACATGAATCTCCCGCCCCAGACACACAAGCACACAAGCTTGTACTGGCATATGATTCGGTTGGCTGACGCGTCCGTCGAGACGTCAAAAGTAGAACATTGCTCTACTTTTGCAGCGAGCACCGCGAGAGAAGCTACGCTTTGCTCCCAGAATGCAGTTCGGCGAATCGTGACATCACCCCATTCAAAGTGAATGGGCAGAAGCGTTGAAGCGGCAACGCACGCCGCCGTGTGTAGGGGCCGTAACGGCTTTCATCGCGACGCGATGTTTACAGTGAGAACAGCTGTGAGCTCCGTCCAGAAAGCAGAGCAGTGTGTAAAATATATATCACTCAACATTACTCTCTGTATTTGTATGCTGTAGTTTAGTAGATATCTACAAACAAAGAGTCGATATTTTTCTAAGACCATTTAGTGCTTCACATAATAAAATACACAACGGCTGTAGCCTGATTATGCTTTAGGAGCAGTAGGTGTGTGTGTTGTACAGTGTGTAGGTGTGTGTGTGTGGTACAGTGTGTAGGAGTGTGTGTTGTACAGTGCGTAGATTCGGCGGACAGACAGGTCTCAGTTGGTTTAGTGTCCTCTGCTTACTTTTAATACTTGTAAATACAACTTTTGGCCCGTAATTTCAATTCCCCATTTCAGCAACCAGAGAGAGGGGGGGGGGGGGGGGATATATCCAGTCTCTGATTGTGTTACGTTATTATGAGAGTGCTCTCATACTTGTTTGATTCTGAAATTGTATATATTTATATAAATATATGTGTCTGTGTGTCCGCATCTGTAGCCTGTTATTGTCTCATTATACCGCACTGTGAATGAATCAAAGTAAATATATAAGTCATCATGAACACATCTGTCCATCAGACAGAGGGCTGCTGTGCCTCCTGTCATCATTAATGAACGTCTCTTTAAAATGACCGCTCAGAGGAGAGCAGTTCTCATTTCTCTAACCGCCTGCTGCTTCCCCTCCTCTCTCCTCGGTTCCCCTCCTTGGCTCCTCCGCTCACATCTCCTGTGGGCAGGACCAAGTCTCGAGGATAGGAGTCGAGGATAGGAGTCGAGGAGGGGAAATTTGAGTATTGAAAAACTTCTAATGTCTCGGGAGTAATGTGCAGTCCACCAGAGAGGTAGCCGCTGCGGGACATTAGCCTGCGTACTGCATAACCTTCCCTGCCCTGAAGAAGAAGTGATCCTTCCTAGTGCCTGACAAGTTTTAAGCTAATAGCCTATACAGTTATGGATATTAGAAAGTTATTGTCATCGAAGCAGGCGCCACAAGCTGCAGCAGTATCAGCAGCTGACAACAATGTCATCACCAGCAGTGAAGAAATGGATGTTTCAGGTTTGTGAATCTAATGGTGATATCTGCACTCTGGCTGACTGAGTAAGAAGTGAAAAAGAGTGATGTAACGTTAATGTTATAGCTAGTAAACATGGAGTAACCACACTAAGTATACCCTTATATGTTAGAATGTATACAGAACATGACTACAAATTATTCTAAGATGTAACGTTAACCCTTCATACCTCAGTCTACTTTTAAGACACTAAAATAATGTATTCCAATTTTTATTTTCGCGCGTGGAATTAAACCGGCTCTCGTTTCAGTACACATAACAACGGAACCATAGCAACGGAACTGACAGACAACGGCAGAGGCGCGGGAAGGTATTTTGAGTGGGGGTGCTGAGGTGCTGGACTCCAGTGAACACTATTACGGGCACTATAGAGCACGCACAAAAGCACTCCCCACACGCAAACACACAGTACACCCGCGACTGTTACAATGAAGGCTCGATAATCAGCTCACGGCATATAGGCAGGGGTAAAGTGCTATTTTTTACGAATGGGGCGCGGACCTCACCTCCTCTAGGAGGGACCTCACCTCCTCTAGGGGGGTCCGGGGGGATGCTACCCCGGGAAGATTTTTTTTAAATATTGAAGTCAAAAGCATCAATCTGGTGCACTTTGAGAGCAACAGTAAGAGATCTATGGATACATCTCTCAACACCCAGATGAAACAGAACTGTAAACAGATTTACTTTTTCTTTATGGATATTTTACAAAACACTCCCTTTTAAACTGTATTCTTGTTTTACTGCCATATAGTATTTCATACCTGTTTTTCCTTTATTCTCTTATTTTTTTTATAACGATAATGATCATATGAAGGTGTAGGTGAAGTGAAGGTGTGCCGCGGAAATAATCTTTTGAATAATTTGTGACCAAACCGTTTGAGACCCACTGAGATAACTTAGACTAAAGTCAACTATCTAAACACTCAGAGAGTCCTTTAGCTCAATAATATAATACATTAACCTCATGATGAGGTTAATGTATTATATTATTGAGGTAGAATTGTCCGGGGCTACAGAATTGTAGCCAACAATGTGGAATTTATTGGCTACATATTACACAGATTATGCACAGCGGGAGCAGCAATAACCGTCAAATAATAATTCAGACAGGGGAGCTCCGCACCCCCTGCCCGCCGCTAGGGGGTGCTGCAGCGCCCTCAGCACCCCCCTTCCCGCGCCCATGGGCAACGTAACTGACAGGCAACAGTCAGAAACGTGACTCTTACACTCTTTACGTCACAAACAAAGATGGTGGATGAGAATAGATCTATAAAACGATAAGCAATGCGCCAGAATCAAGGTGAGACTCCTTTAAAACTCTACGGGCACCTTTTTTATTCCAATTCAAGCACTGCTCACAGGTGTGTAATCAGGTGCCTCTGTGACAAGATAATTGTGTCTTCCCCTTTGTTTGTTTGTTGAAGAAAGGACACTGAGAGTTAGGACCTACTTTTTTACGCCCAGCTGGTGCACTCCACTCCTGACATCTAAGAAATATCATATATCAAATCATAGGACTCTTTCGGACAGGTTTAATCCTAGAGACGTGGAAGGTGGGATGGATCT